AACCCAGGGAGAGGGTAATAGTGTGTAGTGCAAACGGGCACAGCGTAGGGGCCAAGTAAACACACGAGGAGAGGCAGGACACAGTGAAAGCCCAGCGCACTTAGCTGGAAAGACCTGTACCAGGAACTGTGTGTAGATTCCAAGAACAAGACAAGTGGAGTTAGAGAGGATTATAGCTGAGAGCACCTGATACACCATGCAGGATTTCAGGCACACAGCAGCCAAGGTTCAAACTCCTGACACACCCCATCAGCTTTGGGGGTGCCCCCCTGGTGGCTTGGTCTATCCTTCCGAGAAGAGACTTGGGGTAGAGATCCACACAAGCCCTGGAGATGGGCCAAGGCCCTTGGGGCAGGGAATTCCAGAATCCCAGGTACCAGGGTAGGGTCTGAAGGGTAGAGTGAGAGCTCCACATGTAAACATCGCCTTGGACCTGCTGACTGCTCTTTCCGTGGAGAGACGTGTGGCTAGGGGTGAGCCACAGTGGGGTCCTTGAAAACCCAAGTCCAAAGCAAGGCCCTCCTATTCAGGTTGAAGTTAGCCCCGTGCTGGGGAAAGGCAGTGGTCCTTGAAAGAGAAAGGGGCACAGCAGAAGAAAAATCAAGGTATGCACCAATTTAAAACTTAAAGTGGCTGAGGTCTAGTCCCTGTTCTACCTCTAGATGTTTGGATGACCTGAACCCCACTGCACCTCAGTTTCCTCTTCTATAAAATGAAGTGAGTAGAAGTCAAATCAGGCGGTCTCTGCTAACATACACGTCTAAGCTCCCACACACAGCTCCACACATCAGGGCGGGAGGAGAGGACCTGTGGCTCACAGCCAGCCCTACAGAGGCAACAGAGCAAAATACGAAACGAGAGGAGCCACATGAAACACCAACACCTAAAACTGCTGGGCTGAGCGGTGTGTGTCACCTGCGCAGGATTTCTCTGGAATGGGACGAGGGTAGGGCTGTCCAGAGAGCCTGCAGCTTAGAGGGGTGAGTAATGAGCATGGGAAAGCATGACTGTCCAGCAGCCGCGTGCGCACACACACACACACACACACACACGGGCCTCACCCAGACTTTGTAAGTGAAAATGTATTTCCTGATTGAGCCCAGGAAGACAGGCCCCCTGGGAAACTGTCTCTCTCTCATCCCACACATTTCCTGATGGCACGCAATTAGGGGATCACCTTAGCAGAGCCGAGTGTGAAGGTGCTTTCACACTGCTTGGCTCTATTCCGAGAGGCTGCCGGGTAAGGTTGCAGAAGCGTTAAGAGCATTTCTTCATTTTCTTTCCTGTCCTCATCCCCCTCTAGCTTCCTGAGTGCAAAAGAAAAGGGGGTCTTTACACCCAGAAACCAACAATACGCTATGCTAGGTGGTGGCTGCTAAGTCAGGACTGACTCAGAATTAGAGTGCTCATTTTCATCTAGAGAGACAGAAAAGTCCCTCGTGGGATGTAACACAGAAGTGGTAAAATGTAAAAATAGTGTTCCTTTAATTTGGTCAGCGAGGAAATATCCCCTCACTTTTCCCACTATGTCATGGTGCCCAAGGTCTCCCACCCCACTCTAGTGACGCAGGATCCTGTTCATGACCGGCTATTTTATGTCTGTCCAGCTACCGCCGAAGGACAATAACCCAAGAAGCATGGCCAGGAACACAAACACAGGTGTGTGTTCATTAGGCCCAGCCGTGTACTTAGTTCAAACACCGCATCACTGACGCAGTGTTATGCGAGCAGAGGGACCCAAAGTCTCCCCTGCCACATGCCCAAACCACCAACTCCGCATGACAGGTGGAGGGCTGGAGATTGCCAGGGTTACACTGCAGTCACGGCAGTTGGTGCCATGTCCTCTGAGCAAGGGGAGGCTCTCGAGGAGGGGAAGACGCCAGAGGGAATGCAGACCCACCTTCCCTGTCCCAGCAACAACAGCACTGTTTGCATTTCTTGACCTCTCCGGCTAAAACACATTAAAAATTACTTAGAAATTGTAACCCCAGGAGTCCCCTGATAAGATTATCTGTGGGAAGACTACAGATCAGTCGCCTGTCAGCCATTACCACCACAGAAGAAGGGTTGTCTGCCCGGAGAGGTGAGTTGTGAAGGAGGAGAACACACACAGGCCAGGCAAGGAACAGAGCAGGATGCCAATAGCATGAGGTAGGTTGTTTCTTCAGTGGAGGTTCCAATAGGCCAAATGCTGGAAAAAATTTCCACACAGTCCGTGAAGAAGTAAAGAAGAAAATCATCATTGACTCCCAGGGAAGAACATGAGATATGCTGACCCCAAGCTCAATACCATATGTTCCCATAGCACATATTCTCTAATAACCAATATCATTGAAATCACTATGGCCATTATTTAAAAAGATAAAAATAGGGGCGCCTGGGTGGCTCAGTCGTTAAGCATCTGCCTTCGGCTCAGGTCACGATCTCGGGGTCCTGGGATCGAGCCCCACATCGGGCTCCCTGCTCAGCAAGAAGCCTGCTTCTCCCTCTCCCACTCCCCCTGCTTGTGTTCCCTCTCTCACTGTGTCTCTCTCTCAAAAAAAAAAAAAAAAAAAACTTTAAAAAAAAAAAAAGATAAAAATAATTGGCAAAACACGTTGTTACACAGGATCAGATGTACCTTATGTCAGTGTTCCTCACGTGATAGCTCTTTATCAGATTCTGATAGAAATAAGGATTCTGTAGAAATACACTGATATGAAAATATGTCCAGTGCATTCTTTTAAACGGAAAAAGTTCTTAACAAAAGAGGATGTGTATATGTATAAATACATATGTATAAAATATGAACATCTCTGAGTGAAAATATTGCAATTTTTTTTTAACTGCAGTTTCTGATTTTTTCTGCAATGAGGAATATATTACATGTGTGGGTTTTTTTTTTTAAGTTTAAAAAATAGGGGGGCGCCTGGGTGGCTCAGTTGGTTAAGCGCCTGCCTTTGGCTCAAGTGGTGATCTCAGGGTCCTGGGATCAAGCCCCTGCTCAGGGGGAGTCTGCTTCTCCCTCTCCTTCTTTTTTAAAAAATATGATACAGCACGGTCAGCCTAGAGAGGGGAGGAGAGGCCTTTCCCAGGAGAGGCGGGGAAGCAGAGCACTTCTAATCACAAGCAGCGGGTTCCCCCAAGCACAGTCCGTACTGCACCTCTGCTGCCCCCGTGTGACTGAGAGAAGACCTGGCACCCAGAGCCCCGAGACAAGGAGGAATTGGAACCAAACTCCAAGGTTATCTTGAATAAATTCCTCTTTCCCTTTTCACCAATTCATGGTGTAGATTTGTCCCACTCCTGATCATGGGGCACGGGGCTTCTGCAACGCCAAGTGCTAGGATGGGCATTCAGGATGCTAACAAGATGGACAGACTCTGGTAGGGGTTCAGGACCCACAGATCCACTAGGGCAGGAGTGAAGTTGGAAGTAAGAAGGCGCAAAGCCTCGGGAGACTATTAACTCCAGGGAACCAGGAAACTAGAATCCTAAAGCGGTATTGGAAACTGCCTCCTTTACCACAGGGGATTAAGGTGAGAGCACCTCAGGCTGGTGGTGTTTACTTCTTCTGCCATCTGTCAGCGGAGCACCTGACCTGCTATTTGAGCATAGATATTCCCAGAACTGCAGAGGGAAGCCCAGTGGGGTTACTATGTCCAATGTTCCCACTGATGGTCGTTTTAACTTATGAGAAGAAAAGCCTGCTGCCTGAGCATCAAACCATGAAGATGGAAGCCAAATTTAATGTTATTATCAAATGACAGCCAAATATATTTAACCTGATCCCTTAACAACTGCAAAATCATTATTAGGCATTAATGCTAAGACTTAAAATGATTAAATAATATTTTTCTTACCTAAAAGTCTATTTTTCTGGGCTTGCATTGTTGGATCTATAACAACCAAGGGCAACAGGATCCCCTCACAAATGAACATTTTAATTTTTAAAGCATAAGTAGGCGCTGTGCACACACACACACACACACACAAATTCTGGATTAAACTCCCCAACTCTTAATCCTATACCTTACCCCCCTTTTTCTTAACCATACACCTCAACCCCATATCTGCATATTACTCAGGATAATGCTCAATATGTTTCTCCTATATTGAGGCTCCAGAGTCAGATTGCCTGCATTCAAATGCAGCTCTAGCATTTACTGTGTGTGACCTTGGGCAAATCACCTAAACATTCTGAGCCTCAGTGATCTCCTCTATATAATGGGGATATTAATAGGCCCACCTCATAGGGCTGTTGGAAGGTTAAAGGAGTTAATATCTGTGATGTACTAAAAACAATACCTGGCAAGAAAGTGCTAGAAGAGCCCGTTAACTCACTCTGTCCTATAGTTACTTTTTTAAAATGGGTTTGAGGGCGCCTGGGTGGCTCAGTCGTTAAGCGTCTGCCTTCAGCTCAGGTCATGATCCCAGGGTCCTGGGATCGAGTCCCACAATGGGCTCCCCGCTCAGTGGGAGGCCTGCTTCTCCCTCTCCCACTCCCCCTGCTTGTGTTCCCTCGCTCACTGTGTCTCTACCTGTCAAATAAATAAAATCTTTAAAAAAAAAAAAAAAATTTAAAATGGGTTTGAAATGTCATTAATTTTTATAAGCAGTAATTTAAAAAGCAAACCTGGTCTCTTTTCTTTTCGTGAATAAACACCATTTGTTACTAAAATTGGGTGACGATGAAGAGGCCAGTCCCTCCCTGTCCACCTCTAAAGTTGAATGTCATTTTCAGGAGAATCAAACTTACCATCCTTACTCTCCTCCAAGCTTGATGCCAAGTATTTTAGGAAAAGTAAAGAACGTGTGTGTGTGTGTGTGTGTGTGTGTGAGTGCATGTGCAAGCGCACGTGTGTGGCAGGAACAGGCAGGTGGAGTATGGCCGTCCCGAGCACCTTTGCACATCTCTGCTTTCCTCCACTTTCCTCCCACTCTGGTCCTGGATCTGCCCCCCCTTTTCTCCCACCTTCCATTAGGCAGTTTGAACAGCTCCTTACTCCAGCGACACTCACCTGTTGGTGTTCTCCAGAACCTCTACCTTCTTCCGAAGCTCCAAGTTCTCAGTTGAACAAGACTCCACCCTACAGAGGAGCAAGAGAGAAGAAAATTAGTTGTATCACTTGAGCAAATGTGAAGCCAGGAGCTAGGGTGGAGGCAGGTGGGGTTTGGAGAAGGAGGACTGGGCATCAGCTACTCTAGGGAAATGAGGGAGAGAGACTGGCCAGCCTGAATTGGGGAGAAAGGTAAGAAGACAAAAGAAAGAGAGAGAGAGAGAGAGAGAGATGAGTAACACGTGCCCCAGGACCAAAAAATGAATAGGGATGGTACAAAATGCAAAGTCCTTCCAGGGTGTTCCAACCTCGATTTCTTTCACCTCATCCCTATTGCTCTCAGTGCCCATCATTCATGTCCCCCATACTATGGGGGTCTGGATGCTACTGGCTGTAGTCTTGGCCAGAAGGACTGATAGGAAGCCAAAGGGCTTAGGATAAACAATAGGGGAGGACAAAAACCCAGCACCTCAAGCCAAGGAATCCAGCTGCAGGAGCATGCAAGCCCCCAAGACCATCTTGACCCTGAAGCCTACAGAAGATAATGGAACGGAATGGGACTACTTCATGCTCAATTACCAAGACCTAAACTAGGATGTAGAGACACGAACTTTCAGTAGGAATGTCAACAACCAGCCAGGATCCACTCCTCTCCCCAGACACGTGGGAAGATTCATTTCTGGGTTGGGGGCCTCATTTCCATCTTAAATGATATTCGTTGGCCAGCCAAAGAACTATATTCTAAGGCTAAGACAAAATTGCATTTCATTCATGTTTTTCTACTAGCCCTCCTGATATTTTGGACTATTCAGAACAAAAGGTGCCTTCGAGTGTTTTTGTGGGAAGTTGCTAGGCTGCATCATGAATTATAGTGGACGGAATGTACCACCAGTCGGCACCAGCCTGACTCACTGTACTGCGAGCGCTCCTTCTCTAGGGTGTGAGGGATTAATTAGCACTGCTCCCTTTGGCTGAAACAGTGCCTCTCCTCTGAGCAGAGTTCCAGGAACAGGAACGAATGTTACTATTTGCACTTGTTTGAAAGGAAGCCTTCGAGGACTTACTCTGGTTAGAAATGGTGTGGTACCAATGCCTGCTAAGATAGAGTGTATTTTTTACTTAAGGACATACTTATAAGGGCTCCCCTCTAAAAACCACTAGGTGGCAGGCAAAACATAGCTGATGAACCAACGGGCTTTAACGGTGGCCAGAATGAACTTCATCTACTTCTGGAAAACAGAAGCTTCGCTCACTCCCGTTTCCCTATGCAGACTAACCAATAAACACACCCAGTCTCGCAGAGGCCTTACTTTTTCTCCAAGCTGTCCATGTATTCTTTCTTCTTTCTCCTACTTTCCTGGGCAGAAATCTGAGAAAGAAGGGGAGAAGAAAGGATTAACTTCCTGCCATCTCCTAAGTCAGTTATGTGTACGTGGAAGAGAGGAGTCTGTTAGCACACAAATCACCAGGGTCCTGCTCATTTCTGTGGCCACTCTTCATTTAAATAACCTGCTGGCTCATCTGTGAGTCACCTCTTCTGACCTCCCTGGTTCCAACCAGCCTGTGTGGTCACTACTAGTTCACCAAACTGGGCCCCGCGTGGGAAGCATGGCAGGCCTGAGTCAGAACAGAACACGTGGGTCACAAACCATCTGTGTGGTCTTAGATAAATGATTTCAACTCTGTGGGCCTCAGTTGGCTCAACTATAACTTATACACAGAGAGGGTTGGGCTTGGTCAGACATAAGCCCCCTACTGGTTCTGCACATGGACCAAAAGTGGTAACTGAACTCTTTTTCTTTCTTTCTCTGCCTCCTGCCTTCTGGCCTGTCTGTGCCCTAGCCATGCCCCTCGGCCTCACCAGTCCTGATTGGCAGTGTAGGGACCTAGGGCTAGGAGACTCCTGAATCCAGGTATACAACAATAGACTAGAGAATTTTTTTTTAATCAAAAACCTAGTAAAGAAAAAAATTAAATACCCATAATGCATTTATATTTATTTATAAATTATGTACATGCCCACTAGAAGGAAATACTGTGTACATCATAAAACAGAAACTTAAAAGGCTGAGATAAAAAAAAATTAATGGGAGTTCTAATGTTTTCCTGTCAGCCCTGAATGGATCCCCTTGGGCACCAAGGAGTATGCACACCCAGTTTGGGATCCACTGACCCAGAGGATGAGCAGAGGGACTGGAAGAACACAGTCACCACTGAGGGGAAGGGCAAGGCTGAGCCTTGTCTCCCTACCCCCCCGCCATGAGATGGGCCAGTGTTGGCCACTGGGAAGAGGGGGAGTGGGGGCACGCAGGCTTAATTCTGGTCATGGTCTCTGCTCATAGAACCAACTAGCTTTGAAGGGCTCACCTTGTTCTTGATTTTCCTCCGAATTTTCTTCAGAGCCTTCTCCTCTGATTTTGTTAGAGGCAATTTGGTGGGGATGGGATAGCCCTCGGCGATCAGGGTCCTCTTCTCCTCTTCTGTCAGGACCAGTGGGCCTGATCCTTGAAGTTTCTGTGCGGATCAAGGGGCAGAAAAAGGGTCAAAGCAGAACAACTGGGCATACTCAAGAAACTTGCCAACGTCTGAGAGAAAAGGATGCTCGTCTGCTTCTGGTGAGAGATGAGTAGTTTGAAGGGGAAACAAAGACAGAGAACACACTCTCATGTGAAGGTTACAACCCAAGGATTATCATTCAAGGGAAAGGGTGAAGAAACCTCCACCCATCAGTTCCCAGAAGGTACCCCACTGGCTAAAACATCAAAAGTAACATTACAGGATTCATTTCCCACATCTCTTGAGATTTCATGGCCTTGGAGTGATGGAGGATTCACTTGGAGCTCTGCTGATGAAAGAGTTTCCTTGTTCTCCGAAAACACAATTTTGCAAGATGTTCTCCATACACCAGGGCTCACTTCTTGTCCCCCACTGACAGCTAAGGGGCCTGGGCTCCCAGAAATACACCTACAGGCACATCCGATGGAAGTCTCTGGCTTGCAACAGTCCCAGATGGTCCATCATCAGTGAAGAAGAGGACTGTAGCTCATCTCATTCAGGCCATAATAGAATGATATGTTTATACATAGTCAAAGAAGCTGAGCGCTGACTACAGTTGAGCCCCACAGTAAATGTCATGGAACACTCAAAACAAACTGCATCTCTCGAGTCATAGCTTGTGATCAAGATTGAGACTGAATTAATACACATGAAAGGCTGAGGGCAATTAAATGCTACACTGTAATATCAACTCAAGGTGCATTCACAATCTGGGGAAAGAGACACATGAGTGTGTGTGATAAGGAAAGGCTTAGGGTAGGAGAGGACACTTGCATTGGGCCTTTTGAAAGGAAGGGGATGATTTACATAGAGAGGGGGGCATTCCAAGCCAAAGGCCGCATTCTGAAAAGCACTTGATTGAAGATGCTACTCTGTCTAGAGTGGATAATTTCTTGAAATAGGGAAGGGTCAAGGCGCCTAGTACTGAGTAGAGGTATTCAGATTTGATACCTAGAGCTAATTGAGAAACACAAAGAACACACTATGGGGATGTGACATTGGGAGGATTTCCTAACATGGCCACAGATTCAGAACTCTGGGACACACTGACTTTAAATTGTCAAAATTATATTAATTGACAGATGGTTCTTATAGAATTTTTAAATATCTCATTCAAATTTTCTCTATGTGATATAAATTCAGTAAGGTTGATAATAATTTTATGATTTTTCAAATTTCACAGAAATCAATGAACTCTTCAGAACAGTAAAATGTTAATTATCTGTCCCTATTTTTATTTGGAAAAAGGTGCCCTTAAGGATGACTCATGCTCTAACTTGAGTCTCTGCATTGGGAGTCGTACCACAGGAAAAAAGGGTTAAACTATATTTTTGAGCTTTCAACAACAAAACAGTTAATCTCAAGGTTTTGAGTTCATCAAAGATTGTTTATTTGAAAAACAAGTTATTTCCTATTTTAGGCCATAGGATCATCTAAACTGATGGTAAGTATTTGGGACATGATTTTGAGGAGGAAGGCAACACAATATTTTTACCCCTCATGTTTCTGGCTGTGTAAAACAAAACATGCAAGTAATAACTGGAATGTGCACAGGAAAAGGAAGAAGACTGTGTTAAACCTGGTGAGGTTATAGGCAGGTCTTAAAATAATGTTCTTTAAGATGGCTAGCACCCTGTTTTAGCAATTAAACCTAAGACCTCCTTACAAGAACAAAAGTCAAGTGGCCTTGAAGGGCACCCACTCCTAGTGAAGCTCCAAGTAACCAAAGGGAAAGGGTTCAAGCCCCGAGCTGCCCTCGGAATACTCACGTGAGGCGCCGTGAGGAGAGGAGAGCTGGACAGGGCCGAGGGGGCCCGGGCCACGGCTCTGGCGGGGCTGTGGGTCTGAGGCAGGCCGAAGGGGTGCAGGCGCGGGTTGGGGCTCAGGCTGCCCTCTGAGTCACTGCTGTGGCTGCTGGGAGGGGTGGGAGGTAAGTGCAAGTGTTCCACGGAGGCTGAGGGAAAGAAAGCAGATTTCATCCATCAGAGAGCAACGAAGCAGGACTCAGGGGCAGTTAAACAGCTGGACGTCCACACGGCCGAACTCAGGTCAGCCGAACAAAGGGATGAAGATTCTGCATGTGCTGATTTGGAAAGATCTCCGACAGATATTGTTGGGGGAGGGGGGCATCAAGGTACAGAACCGTGTATAAAGTAGCCCTCCTTTTGTAGGAAAGAGGAGCGGAGGTGAATACAGACTCATATTTGCTTGTCTCTGCATAAAGAAATACTGGGAAATATATAAGAAATTAATAAAATTGGGGTGCCTGGGTGGCACAGTCCTAAGCGTCTGCCTTCAGCTCAGGTCATGATCCCAGGGTCCTGGGATCGAGCCCCACATCGGGCTCCCTGCTCAGTGGGAACCTGCTTCTCCCTCTCCCGCTCCCCTGCTTGTGTTGCCTCTCTCGCTGTGTCTCCGTCTGTCAGATAAAAAAATAAAAAATAAATGAATAAGTAAATAAATAAATAAAATCTTTAAAAAAAGAAAAAGATAAAACAAATTAATAAAATTATGACCTCTTGGGGGCGGGGGAAATTAGGGTGACTGTGGTAGTGCCGGCATAACTTCTCATTGTATTCACTTCATATCATTTATATTGTTTGACTTGTAAACCATGTTAATGGATTAGGTACTTAAAAAAAAAATGAGCAAAACTTGGGGCCCAACAGCAATTCCAATGGCTACTTTGAGAAAAGTTCATTTGTTTCTGAAGGAATGTGCATGGTAGGGCCCGTAGGCAAGACACCAGACATTCTTCCACTGGAAAAGAAGTAAGTGTGTGTGTGTGTGTGCACATGTGCGAGTGGGCTTTGCTGCTCCCCAGTCCCCTGGCCTCCCCTCAGGGAGTCACAGACACGCCGTCTGCTGGAAGCAGGGAGCCACAGGCGGTGTTACCAATCACACATCCCCAGGGCAGCAGGGATGGGCTCCAGTAGGGAGAATCCACTCTGAGCTCAACCTTTTTGACAAAAGAGCTCTCCATTTTCTGGTCTCCTTTCTATTCCCGCTAAGCCGAAATGCCTTGAGCGCCAGCCACTGTTACTGAGCCAACGGGCATAACCTTGGGTGAGCCTTTCACCCCACACCCCCAAGGGGCCCCCAAGACAACTGAGTCCTTTAGCATGGAAGCTGCAGCTTGGCCGGAGGAGTGCTTGGGGCCACAGAAAGGCTTCGACCTCTTCTTTTCTCCTGTAACCAGAGATTGCCCGAGGCGGGAAGGGTCTTCTGAGGCACAATTGACCTACCAGATCCCACCCAGAGCTGCCTTTGCAGGTGACAAGCAATGACCAGGTGGCTCTCTCTCTTGAAATACCTGAATATCCGAGGTAACAAGTAATGTGCCTTCCAGCCACCCTCCCTGCTATTTACACCACACAGCTCTTTCTTCTCTTACTCTCTTCCTCTTTTTCTAACATAGTACCTTTCACTAGATGCTTTCCTTTTTCTCTGACAAAGTGTTGCCAAAGAGCTCCCTGGGTTTTTTAGAGTCCGTGGGTACTCCACAAGCTAACGAATATTCTAAAATAATCCTTGTATCTCTAGTGCCAACATCTCTGCCAACAGTTCCGGGAGCCTCAAATATGAGCCCCCCTAGAACGGAGTCCTGAGAGTGTTAACCAAGTAGCAAAGTAGCAAAGTCTCTCCATGAGCTCCCATTGGTGGAACGTTCCTAACCCCTTCTGGTTTGGCACTGCCAATTTGAATACACTTTTGCTCAAATAAACTCCTAAAAATCTTAATATGCCTCAGTTTATCTTTTAACAATGGTGGGAAAAAAAAAAACAAAACAACCAAACCCAAGAGCAAAACCTATTAGGGGCTCCCATTGTCTGCCACACTGTGCTGTTATATTCTGGAGAAGTAGCCAAGTGTACCTAGAGCTTACTTGTCCCTTTCACTTAGCACCGTCCAAATTATTCTAATACTTTTCTCCTTTCCAAGCAGAAGGTGCTCCACAAAAAAAACAGAAACGGCATGACAGAAGTGAGGGAAACTCGAATCCCCTCTTTCCTGCTTATTAAGAGCTACTGACCTGGCTCTTGGTGCTTCGGTATCAGATTTCTAAATATCATTTGAAATGCTAGTCTCAGATTACTTGAAAGGTCTGGGGACAATAAGCTACTTTGCCTAGAAGCTCCACTGCATACAAGGATATTGAATTTCCTCCTCTCTGTTTATCTAGGATAATGAAGAAGGACTGCCTGCCACTTACTTTACTCTTGAAATGTTTCTCCTCCAGTGATCCATTCATTGCTACAGTTAGGACACTTTCTGAAGCATACTGCAACATAAACTAAAAGAGCAAGATGTATTTGATAGTGTTCATGAAAATGAAAGGAATTACTTTAGAACAGTATGTAAGCTGAAAGGCACTAATGGATAACACTCGGTGGAAAGAAATATTGTCTCTGTATGGATTCTAGTTGATATTGTTAATTTCAAAAAAAAATGTAATTGTTTCTTACTGATAATAAAGGCAAATACCAACCATGATTAAATTGTCACAGATAACATCCTGAGTTCGTTTCTAGTGGAACGAAGGAGGTTATGCTTTCATGAGAACTGCTCATTTGTAACACCCATACATTAAGCGTACACCATAACACAGAGGCCTTTTCTACGACAAACGCATATACGAATTTCTTATTTGTTGACCACACTACTGAACTGTCCTTCTAACCTCATCCTGAAGACATAAATAAAAAAGAAGATGACAGCAGGCCTGAAGGCACAAAATTTAAAGCAGAGGGGCCACGCAGGGGTATCTCAATTTAAGAAAAGGCAAAGAAAGCTTCCTTCGACTCTAGGACGCTTGAGGGTCAGTTTTCAGGATTCCTACTTATGGGCTTCATCTGAGAACAAGAGGGAGAAATCAGAAAGAAACTGACACAGAGAAAGAAAAGGCGAAAAGTATGACAACTTTGAATATGACATTATTTTGTTCTAAATGGATGGCAAGATGCCCAGTGAGATGCATGAACTAATTTATAAATAGGGAAGAGGCTCCTTGTAACTATTGTCACCTAAAATCAACATTTAAACACATTGAATGATCAGACAAATTGTGAATTCACTTTACAAAGGGCAAGGTGCCTTTGTGGATGTTTGTGTCTTGGCCTCTACTGCTCACCACAGCAGCACAGAGAATGGGGCTTGATTCACACGTTCACACCCAGAAAGACAACACTTGCCTTGTTCACCAGCACCCAAGTCATAGCTGACTATAAAGGTTGGGAAAGGTTTAGAAAACACCCCTGCTGGGAGTAAAAGTAAAATATAAGATTTAGCATAAAAGTCTTTTTTTTTTTTTTTTAAAGATTTTATTCATTTATTTGACAGAGACAGCGAGAGAGGGAACACAAGCAGGGGAAGTGGGAGAGGGAGAAACGGGCCTCCCCCCAAGGAGGGAGCCCAATGTGGGACTCGATCCCAGGACCCTGGGATCATGACCTGAGCCGAAGGCAGACGCTTAACAACTGAGCCACCCAGGCGCCCTAGCATAAAAGTCTTAAGCACATACACCTATTTAGATAAAAGATTTAAGCATATGACATAGATGGGAAGTTAAAATTTAGCTTTCAACATCTGTACTTAGAATCAAGGTTTTAAAGAGCTGAGCTATTTCAGAAAGCAGGCGATGCCTACGGTACAAATTAATCCCAGCACTTTCTCCCACATTCCCTTTCTCCATGCACGGACATCTGGGAATGCTAAGGAAGGCAGGGAGAGTAGACAGACCTTCTTTAGGAGAGAAGTTGAGGAACTGATCCACTTCATGAGGCTCCAGCTTAATTTTAGGAATAACGGTCTGGCACAAGGAATCAACCTAGAGGGAGAATTTCAAACACAGTGTTTAAAAAAATAAAAATCAGCAAGAAAGGTCAGGGTCTTGGGCCTTGCTCCATTGGAGCAGCAAGGCCCAAGACCCTGACGTTTCTTAGTTACATACTAGAAGTCAACTGGACTAACATCTCGTGGGGCAAGGAGACTAAGACACGCTCTTGGAGCCCAGTGCAATGAACAGATCCAGGCAGCGAACGAGAATGGCATTCTAAAGTGCAGCTGCAGAGGGGCTCTGTCCACAGTCCCCCATCTTTTCCAAGATGGATTGTAAAGAGCGCTAAGAACAAGTGTGCGCCAAAGCTTTGGCAGCTCTGCTGCTTCCATGCGACCTCTTCCTAAACAGGTACAGGTAGATAGGACACCTTGCTCAGCGGAGATCTGACTTAGCGTCAGTGGAGTCACTGTTTATAAACCTTTGGCTCCGAACTTTAGGAAACTCAGGTCTGGCTTCCAACATCTGGAAGAAAATGTCCACGTATGATACCTGGTCCATCACTGGACACTAGAAACACCCAGACAGAAGGTGGGGTAGGCACGTAGGCATGGAATCGAACAAGGAAGAAATGCCCAATTTTGTATGTTTTCCATGTGTAATACAATAAAAGTTGGTAGGTGGGAGATCCCCGAATTGGGTCAGGGCAACTCCACACTGCACAAGGAAGGGAAAACATTACACAGGACCGACACTTCCATCAGCCCCGACATACAAGCCAAGGATCAAATTATCATTTAACCCCTCTCTTTCCACTGGCCTAAAAATCAATCCCATGGGGAGTTTGGGGTTTTCTTAACCATGGATATCCATCTATTTATCTTAATTTTATAACAGCAATCGTTGGAAAAATGAAATCAGACTTGCTACCAGTTTTCTGAGCAATGCCTTTAAAGGAAGTGGTATAATCAATACTGATCCCAAATCAACATAACCTTGATATATACATACATACATATGCAATTACATATTTGGAAACATCTAGAGCCACTAGTTCCAAAAAAGGTTAAATGCCTTATTGGAGAATGAGGATCCGTGTCTTTTGATCGAATGTATGTGTAGGGAAGAAAAGCGAGTATACCCCAGTATTCATTTCCAGGGGGGGTTCCTCCTTCTCAAAAGGGGTGGAGATGGCAGTGATGGTCAGAGTGACAGAGGGAACAAGTCCTGGGGGTGGCTCCTCTGTAATTGGCTCTGTCTTGATGGTTGTTGATGGAAAGTCTGTAGACAGGTACCATTTCTCACTTTCCACTTCATCTATGGGAAGAAGACAAGCACACGTATGAATCTGGTCAGGGGTATCAGACATAAGTAAAACAAATGACCACTGATTTTGCTCCTCAAAAACAGAGCTCCAACCAGGAGTTACTGAGCAAAGAATAAGAGGAAATAAAGTGAGGATGTGAGAGAGGAGATCAATGGATAAAGAAATGAATGGCCAAGTATGAATCTATACTTGTATTTGCTTTGAGTGTATGTATGCCTAAAGGAACCTCAAGGGTCCATGTAAAAGAAAGAAACCTGCCTTCCTGCTTAGAGCAGGAAGGAGACTGGGTGGACAGGGAACAGGACAGGAGGGAGAATCTCAATGTGTGATACTTTACACTTTTTGGTTTTCAAACCAAGTGACTGTGTCATCTATTTAAAAATAAGTAAGTACACTTTTTAAAGATGTATTTATTTATTTGAGAAAGAGAGAGAGCGTGGCGAGGAGAGGGGCAGAGGGAGAAGGAGAGAGAATCCCAAGCAGACTCCCCGCTGAGCGCAGAGCCCAACACGGGGCTCGCTCTCACGACCCTGAGATCATGACCTGAGCTGAAATCAAGAGTCGGATGCTTAACCAGCTGAGCCACCCAGGTACCCCAATAAGTATTTAAAATTAAGAAACAAATGGTGTGTAACCAGAGTCTCAGGAGAGAGGACTGGGGACCAGGGTGAGGTGGGCTCTATTCTTCTCCCAGTGGACAGTTAGTAAGTTTCCTTTTTTTAGTTTCTTCTCACTCCCTGTTTTTGTCTTCGTTTCCCTATGACCCCACTTATGCCTTAAGCCTGACCTAGACTTCCAGAACTTTACTTAGCCCTCTGCGAAACTTCAGAGTTTGTAACAAACATCTGCCTTTACTGAAATGAACCAAATATCTAGAGAAAAGAGCTGGATTTTGGCAAGTGTAGATCTTGGCTCGCTACTGGCTTTCATGATGATCACAGGCCTGGGGATCGGGACAAAGGAGTAAGAACAGACAGAAGCACCTCTACACTTAATGCACATTCTTCTAGGAGCTTACATCCACCTGTTTCTTACCAAATTACTTCAGAGCTACTAGCCAAGCACAGCCCAAAAGGAGGGAGATGGGCAGGAAAAGAAAAGACAAGGAGATTGCAAACAGATGTAGAACAAGAAAAAACAAGTCAGAAATTCCCCAAGTCAGCATTCCTTATCTGAAACCATGTTTACTAAAATGAGGCTAAAATAAAGCAAAAATACGTTCCTCACTTTATGAAAATGTTTAAACACACACACACACACACACACGGTTAGTGAACCATTACTGTACAGAAGAGCAAAGTCGTTCCCATTAGGCAATGATTTTACACTCAAGAATTGGACTCAAGCTTACTTCAGGAAAGGTACATGAAGATCATTTAGAACTGCTAGAGATGGGGAAAGAATGGGCATAGAAGCTAAAAACCAAAGTTCACAATTACTAAAATTGTGTTTCCTAAGCAACTTCCTTGAAACCCAAGAAAACATTAGATTCACACGTACAAAGGAAAATGATTTGCCCCCCCCAAATCTAGTTTATAATTGACTTGATTCATTATCCCAGCCCCGATTTATTTCTTGAGGCAAAGTAAAGATGGGCAAGACTTCAGTTGGTTGAAGATGTTTTGCTTTTGGAACTTGTTCTATAAAGCTGCTGAGTGCTATGGTGTGATGGTAGAATTTCCATCATTCGCGGGGTGCACACCACATCCTGGCTGAGGGGGAGGGGGAGGAAACAAAGGGCCTTTTGATGGCGGCCAGAGGAGAGAGACCACACCATACTTGACACAGAATTCTGCTGGCTAGATGGGCACCCCGCTCAACTTAGAGAGGCAACTGGATGAAGAGCCAAGAGAAGATTCTAATGCCTCTCCCAAAATGAGCTTAAGAACTAGAAAATTCTGTCACCAGCAAGGAAGACACACTCAGGACAGATCTGGGAAGAGCTGGAGAGACGAAGTACACAGATTACACTTTCTCTATTCAGCAATGACATATGGATGCCTTTGCTTTGTGAAGTCAACACTTACAGCCTGTCCACACTGAGCAGTATTTATCCCTGCCAGGGACGGGAAAAGAGATAGTAAGATGCAATACAGCTTCAGTGTATATTAAAATTAACAGTAAGGAGGCATCGTTGAGAAAAGGTCACACCAGGAAATTGTGAGATGAGGCCAGATCCCCACGCTGTGCACTTATATGACTACTGTAATGAAGCTTAATTCACAGGGGGAAAATAGAGGAAAAAATAAAAACAAAAAGCAATACAAAACTATAAGACAAAATGAAGACAGGTAATGCAATCAGTTCTTCCAGTGTAGCTAAGCAATCCTCAAACATAGGACAAGAGAGTTGATATTCTTAATGCTCAGTGTCCTACAAGCCTATTTTAAAATTATATATATAATCATTGCTATATCAGGAATGGAGACTGAAGGATGAACAATGAAACTTAAAACTACGAAGCAAAACCTCTCTCAAAGACACTGAACTCTTCCAAGTGAGAAGTCCAAGGAAGTTGCCTCTCTTCCCGTGACTTTTGTTGAGGACAAAACACTGGTGTTGCCTTTATGCTTCCACTCCGATAAAGTAATTTACTACTCTAACTTGAGGATGATTTTTGAATCGGAAAGAAGTTTAAGGCCATCAAGCTCAAATACATCATTTTATAACAAGGAAATTGACACATAGATCCAGATCACACAGTGAAATTGTGGCAGACCCAGATCTCTGCACTTCCAACCAGTAGTCTTTCTGTCAAAGAAACAACTAAAAATGTAAATAGGGATTTGTGCACAGATATGCTTACTGCTGCATTATTTATAATCACAAAACACTGAAAATAACCAAAATAGTAGAGAACAAGGGCAAGGTGAACAAATTATGATGCATCCATATGTGGAACATTTATGCAGACAGTAATATTACACATACAAAGTCTTTTTAATAACAAGGCAAAGAAAGACTTATTATAGACTATTAAGAAAAAAATCGGGATATTAATTTATGTACTATTAATGAAGAAAGTGATAGAAAAAAGGCTGAAAGGAAGTATATCAAAATAGTAAAAATATCTCTGGAAAAGAATTCAGAACATGAATGACTTTTTTTTTCTTTAGATTTTATACAATTTCTAAATTTCCTGTACTAGGATATACTGTCCCTGGATAATTGCACATGGACATGGCCTGCTTCTACCTGCTCTATTTTACAATGAAGCCCCAGTGGCTCAAGGGGGGCCCATTCAGAGTCCCTTGACTCAACAAGAGTCAGTGAGTACTTTCATGTTTGTTATAAACTGCATAATTGGCTTCAGGTCTATAGTCACCCCTCTATCCATGTCCATTGCCATGCAATTTTGCAGTGCCCTCCCACTGTGGACTAATCCCCACCTCAGATTGGCCACATGACTTGCTTTGGCCTAAGGGATGTTAGCTTCCTAACACAAGTAAAGTCTTAAAATGCACTTGCACAACTTGTACTTTCGACATCCTAATGAAAAGGATGTGCCAGGACAATCTACTGACCCCGGGAGAAGGAGGGCAGACATGTAAAACAGAGTTTGCCCCCCAGATGAGCCTGACCAAGATCGGTCAACTCCCAGCCTTAAACATGGGAGTGAATCTGGCTGAATCTAGGAAAATTACTCAACTGTCCTCCACCTGAAGCAGCCAACGTCCAGCCAAGGCACAGACATATGAACTATAACAACAAATGATTGTGGTTAAAGCTAGAGCCTTGGGGTGGTTTGTTACACAGCAATATAGCTGACTTATACAATCTAGCTGAATGTGTAAACAAGAAATTAAATCCATTACATCAGAACCCATTGCAACAAAACAGCCACACCTTGCCATAATAATTCCTCTAAACCATCATTTGTGAACCATATCAATAAATTTATAGATCGACTGATTAGATCTACCAGTTACATCATAAAATAATTGACTGCACATGAACAAAGTCAGCCAGTATGAAGTTTGGTGAGAACAGCATTCCATTGGCAGTTGACATTAGAGAAAAGAGTTTTCATCCTAAACTACTAAGTGTTGGCTTGTCCTCTGTTCCTCACTGGAAATAAATATCAAATCAGAGAAAACAAAATGACAAATGTAACCTATGAGGCAGGGAGTTAACAAAGGGTAGAGTGAAAGGGAGTGAGCAGAACACGTATTACAATTTTCCATGTGACCTTATTTGTGTAGTTTTATTATTTGGGCAAAAAGATCAGTAGAGCCACCATGGCTTAGAACTGGAATTATCCTTAGATGTTTGAGTTATTGGCTAAACTACAAAAACAAAAGTCAATACACTCTACCCCCTCTAGTTTCTAAAACCTGAAGCTCAGATATTGAGTGAAAAAAAAAAGGTTTTTTTTTTCCTAAATTGTGTTTACCTGCCTTTTAAGTTTCACTTCAGAAGGAAAACATCACCCAATAAGGTCAGTAGTGCATACCTCAGGGAAGAACAACAACCCCCATATCATCTGATTTTATTTATAAACAGCTTCCTGTCAAAGGTCAAACTCAACTGGCACATTTCCTCAGCATCACCACTTAGCTATCAGCAAGGAAATAAAAACAAGCCCCTGTCTCCTGGTGGTGAGCAAGTCCTTCCCATCCAAGGACAAAATGGAGCTGCTGTGAGAAATGAGGCTAGACTCTAAGACTACTCACACAGTAGGGTGCCCAGAGGGGCTAGAAATTGAAACCAATGTGGAGGCAACAGCACAATGCACATCTTCAATCATTTCCATGTGTACTGCATAAATAACTGCATTGAACAGATCCTGATTCCTCGGGAAGAGGGGAAAGAAAAAGGTTAAACTCTAAATTAGGATTAGGCAGTATCTTTACAAATATGGTACATATATATATTTATATATACATATATATACTTATATACGTATATACACATACGTTTATATAGTGCGTGCGTATATATTCTTAAAAAGTGAAATCATATGGGGCAAATACTACTTATAGGATATATA